TTTTTTTTTAGCAACGATCAAGCAGCTTCTATCAGATGTGTGTTGGGGTGACAGGTCTGGATTGCCAGATTATGGATACACCTCCATGGCCAGGTATGACAACAATATAAAATATAATTTTCAGAGACTTGTGATGTACCCATGTGTGAGGTAAAACAGACAAGTGGTTAATGTCGTACACTCTAGATCAATAGGCCTGGATTCCATGGGTCTCTGTACTGCATTCTTAGGTGAGAGACTTGACTTGCAATACCTCATCACATAGGAGGAGAAATGAGTACTAACAAGTTGTTGGGCAACCTGAACTGCAAAAAGATGGGGATGTTAAGGAGATTAAGGGGGAGGGAACAATACTTCACACTAGGAGACTGGTTTTGACCTCTTTTGATCAGAGTAGATATACTCTTTATTGTTAACTTTGCTGCTAGTGCAATTGTGCACATCTCATTTTGCAGTATGCAGTGCAATGCTATCATTATTGCTCTGTTCTAAGATTGGTTTTGTTCAATCCAGGGACATCTGACGACCACATTACAGTACTTAGTAGAAAATCTGCAACATTATAATCCAGATGAAGCAATTCTTGTCACTACTCCTCAGGTATGCATAAAGTATTTATTATAAGATTTCTAAATTATTGCTGTCGATTATTAAGAAGCCTTATTTGGATCTTGGAAAGTTTACTTCTTTATCTTCATAGTATGTAATAATATTCCACTCTCTTTCTTTAGGGAATGCGCAAATTATGCATTTTCAAAAGCAGGAGGTGAAGCCTTGGCAACGAGCTGCGATGTTCAGCCATTTTTAGGTAATAATATTTATTAACATCAGTGACTACACAGGAAGGGGGATAGGGGGGTTAGGGGCAATCTAGATCATGTTTCATGGAAAATGGTCTTTTCACCATTTATTGCACTTGTCTACATTAGTATTTATCTTATAGATAGGACCTTGAACATGCTCTGATTTTTTAAAACCCCATGCTTTATCAGAGTATAAAACATAGAAAAACCGTGTTTTATTGTTTTTCACCACATTACCTGTATATCATTCGCCTGCGGCTTGTGTTTTCTACATTTCCCTCGTGTTCTCAAAATGCCCGTCGCGTTTTATCACAGTGTAATACACAGCTTGAGCTTCTTAATTTGTTAGATAAAAAAAGCAGCGAACTATGTTGTCTGGAAATGTAAAGGTCTTGTTTGCTGGAAGCTTAAGGAATGTCAACCAAATTCTTTTTTGTGTCAAGTTTATCACATAGCAGATTAACAGATTGTTTGTGAACTAGTCTAGGAGAATTCTCACTGATGTGATGCGTTCAATATGACATTGAAATCAGTCAGTTTCCACATAGCACAGTCTTCTAGCTATATCTTGCTTTTAGATCTTGAAAGAATAATTATTTCCTTCTTTGTAGGTTCTATTCTACTGGATCCCAGTCTAATGCAATCCTTAGAAGATGGCCAAGCCTTTATTGACTTGTTTCCTAACTCACCAACACTAAATGCAGTAAATGTAATCACTTCCAAACTGTTACAAATGGAAGGCAATGGTGATCAGTGATTGAAGGAACAAGTGTTACTTAGTTGGAGGACGACTTGCCTGAGCCCTTGCCCATTGGCTGAGTGAGAATGAAAAGTAACTTGCCCAGTAGCAAAATCTACTTGTCGTGGACAACTGGATGGCACTTTTTTCAAGCCCGGCTCTAGTCATCAGGGAAGAAAACATAGAAAAATATGGCTTCACCCACTTAAACTCACTTAAACCAAGCATTGCATTGTTGTTGGAGCATATAAACCACGCACAATAGCCTCCTTCGCAAAGTTCTACTCGTTAAAGCAAGAAAGTATGATTACTGAACAGCATCTTGTTTTGGGAAAAGCTTCATTTGAATTTTCCTTCGATACACAGTTACATAGTATATGCAACTTCAAGACTTGCTTTGTCTGTGACCTCTTCAGTTGGTCGCCAGTAAAGATTTGAATTTGGGATGACTTCATGTAACCATGCATGAAAAATATTACTTGATACAGAATAATAACAATTGACAATAATATAACCAGATAGAAACAATAATAATAAGATAGAATTAAACCAGCAAATAAATAAATAAGTAGAAATAAAAATAAAAATCATTAGTTTAGCATGTGGTATCAAGGTTTATATTTTATGCATGGTTACATGAAGTTACCTTGGATTTAAATCTGTTATGGGGACCAAATTAAGGGGTCATAAAAGAAACTAATTTGTAGTTGTATACATTAGTGTAACTGTGTGTTAAAAAAGGATTTGAATGCAGTTTTTCCCTAGCAAGATGATGTTAAGTGATTACACTTTAATGATTTGACAAGCAGACTGTTGCAGAAATGATCTCTATTCAAAAAAATAATTTAAATGAGGTCTTTCCTAATCCAGATAGTTACAAATCATAATTTTACATGACCAGTAATATACCTAAGATTCTTTGTTCAGAAACTCATTAAATGTTGCAGCTGAAAGGTCAATGAAAAAAAAAGGAAATAAATACAAATGGTACTGCCTCAGCCTGGTATTTTGTGATTGTTAGAATTGCATAAACTAGTCGTTTTTCCGGCGCGTCCTGGAAAGATGATATGGAGTGGAAGGAGAGGATGACAATGGGTTCATGTGAATAACCAACTTTTGAGTTACTTTTATGTTTTTAAGAGAAATTAACAGGGGACGCCAGATTTCCCATTCCATTTTTTAATTTATAATTTAGTAGGTTAGTGCGCAAGCGTGAATTAAAAGACACTGGAGGTAGCAGCACTCAGTGGACTCTTAACAGTTAAATGATAAGGTTAATCCGACAAGTTTGTCTGGTTACGATGTGCAGCGAAAAAAGAATTTGTTTTACCTTGGGAAATGTGATATCAAGCCTACTTTTATCAAGGTTTGATTTTAACAGTTGATCAATGACTTTGTTTATTAGAACTACATGGAACTGTTCCCAGCAAGACAGCTAAACATTATGCAGTCTGTAATAGTAGCTAACGGTAAACAGCAGATTTGTGTTGACTGAACTTGATTCTGGATAAGTTTTCTGATTCATTTTATAACAAGAACCAATTTAATTATGACATCATCATGCAATAGCATGGTCTTATTCTGTTGCCAGTAATGATCATAGTTTTTCTCGGTTTTGATATTCCACCCCCAAAAAAAATCCACAAACCACTTCAAATTAATATCAGTTCCAAAACCCATCTAAACAAGAACACATTATTGGAAGTAAACAGCATTACCTAACTTGAGACTTGAAACAACCAAACACATGAAAAACCATGAAATCTGCAGAGTTTGGCAAGTTTCCTTGTCACATTACCCTTCCCAACACCTGAGAGCCTTTTTGTTGACAACGTGATCCTGACTAAAACACCACACGGGTACTTACGAGTACATACGAGTACATACGAGTAACATAAAAGTACATACGAGTAACATACAAGTACATACGAGTAAAATACATCGCTATCACAATTCACGAGGGTAGTCCGTGTAGGCCTGTCATTATCTTTTGTTTTCATAGCGCTATGGTTTATTGCAGTTCTTGAATATGTCTGTTTACAGTTACTCGCCTAACGAATTTATATGTTATTGCCAATTTTCGATATACATTGATTAATACTTTGTGAAGTGGAAAATTCATTTCAAAGTAATATTATTGTTTCCAGCCGTTATTGAACCGTTTTCTGACTTCCACTATGAAAGAGTACATTATTGTACATAACCAGTAAATTTGATCTGGATTAAAATATACATGGATTTCTAATTTTTAAGGGAATAACCAAAGTTTGCAAATATGAAAGAAAGTTAGACTGTTTCACCCTTTTTTTTTGAGGAAAGGGAGAGGGGTTCAATTCATTAAACAGCACCCCACACACCCCGAAGCTTTTACTATGCTATTACTTCGAATAAACTAATTCTATGAGACATTTGCGCGCGCTAAATCCTGTGTGCAATCATCGTAATCTTCTGCGTTTATTTGACGCCGCAACGTCACATCATATCACATTAGCGCCCAGGTTTGTTTTTGCGTGTGTGGTGCGCGTATGGCGGACGTATGTATGTGGCACACATTCATGGGTGTGGTACGCACGCATTCGTGGGTGTGGTATGTTATTCGTTTGTCACTCGTTTGTTATTCGTATGTACTCGTATGTTACTCGTATGTACTCGTATGTACTCGTGTGGTGTTTTAGTCACGATCAATAAACGTCAGTTACAGAAAACGTTTTGTCACTTAATGAGAGACGTAAGTCTACCTCTTTGAAACGCGCAATGAATTTGTTTCAAAACGAAAGAACCACTGTGTTGCCTCAAGGTCTAATCAGGAGCCATAATCGGGGACGGAGACCGTAAGCGCGCGCTATTTCTAGTATTAGGGCTGTCCATATGAGATGGGACAATTTTGCTATTTTAAGAACAATTTGCGCCATCCCACGCGGCACACGCGTTAAGTACACGCGCGTACATGTTGCGAGGATGTTTGCGGCCGGTAGTGCGGGGGAAATGGCGTCCGCAATTCCGGAACTTTTTTATGCTTTTGGCCCACAACTCAATACGTTTATGTCTGGTGGAATTTCCCTCGAATAGTTTCGTTGCAAGCTGCTCCAATTTGAGTGAAGTAAAACAGTGTCGAAGTTAGGTATTTCCATAGGGAGCACACAATCTTATTGAGTAGGAAGAGAGTTAATAAAGGAATGAAAAGAATGAATAGTTTACCTTCGTCTACTGTTGTCATCTCCTACGCGACCTTACAGAGAAAATTGCTGCCTACATGTCCTGCCTAACACTGTAGGGCTAAAACTAGTACCTAGGCCTTTTTGCGCGCTCTAATTGGTCAAAAACCCATGTTTTATTAGAGTTTATGCTATAGATAGGACCCTGCGCGCGCTCTGATTTGTCAAAAACCCATGCTTTATCAGAGTTTATAATATAGATAGGACCCTGCGCGCGCTCTGATTGGTCAAAAACCCATGCTTTATTAGAGTATAAAATATAGAAAAAGCGTCTATTATTGTTTTTCACCACATTACCTCTGTATTATAAAAGCAAATGAAGAAGTCTAAGGCCGTATATTACACTGTGAAAAAACACTCCCCACATTTGAAAAACACTCGCCTGCGGCTCGTGTACATGTTTTCTACATTTCCCTCGTGTTCTCAAATGTTCTTCGTGTTTTATCACAGTGTAATACTCGGCTTAGGCTTCTTCATACGTCAGTTTTCCATGCCTCTGCCCTGTTATTGACAATGAATTTCGTCATAACATTGTCAAAGTAGTCTGCGGATCCACTCGGCTATCGTCTTGTGGATCCACAGCTACTTTGACAATGTTATGACGAAATTCATGATCAATAACATGACAGACGCATGAAAAAACTGACGTAACGCATCTCTTAGATTATAAATTTATGTGTCTGTCCGCATATTGACGATGAAAATTAGCCAATGAGCTCGCGAAGAGTTTACTGCGGAACAACTGGCCTGCGGCTCGTGGTTCCACAGCCACTTTGACAATGTTATGACACAATTCATCATCAATAAGAGGACAGACGCATTAAAAAACTGGCGTCAATTTGTTAAATGTGCTGTCATTTACCCGCACTCCTGTCTTTTTGACTCGCTTAGAAGGGATTTGAATAAAAGCGAAGGTGGTTTACATTTCGCTTACATCTGGGGAGAGATTTTCAGGTTTCATGAGAGTTAATAGTTAACGACGATAATGGAAACTTGAAACGTAACTGGAGCATCACAGTCACAAAGCGGCAGACAAGATTCGAACCGCCTTCGTTCCTCTTCAAATCCCTTCTAAATACTCAAAAAGACACAGGAACACAGGTAAATAACAGTACATTTGTTTTAAATGATTATGGACCATTGTATGTTATTGCTGATACAGTGTTCGGGTCCCCCGTGTGATTGAAACGGCTAGATAGAATCTGTCCATGCCCCTTTTGTGAGTCTTATCACTAAAATTGAAGATGAATCTCACTTTCTTATGTATTTGCATTAAATACTCTAGGGAAAAATAGAAAGGATCGTTCCAAATTTTGAACAATCATTGATTGAGGCAAATAATTGATCAGCGAGACATTGACAAATCACGATATTTTGCGATAACTGAGTCCAATAATTGTTTTATCATTCGTTCGATCACCGAGTTTGTTTTTATATATAAATCATTCTCTGATAGCTCAGGGAAGCGAACTGCCTTATTATTTGCAGCAAAAAAATGCACCGAATGATAAGGCTAGTTGTTGTTGTTGTTGTTGTCAGTAGACTAGACTTTGCGTCTCTACCCTGTGAGTCTGGGCATGAGAATAGGGCATTGAACTCAGTCTTGGTCAAGCCAGAGAACTGTGTGTGGACTGTATGCAGTGTAGGGAAAAGCAATAAAGGCGAAATCGGAGACGTTGCAATGCGTTTCATGTAAGTCGCAATAATTTTGATATTAAAAAAAAAGGCGGTGGAGAGTTCGGACGAAGACGAACAACCGAAACAGCAGAGTAAACAACAAAATCCCGGGTCCTTGGGGCATGTAAAATCTCAGCCTAGAAGTGAACACTGAGAAAAGTAAAAAAGATAGACGAAGTGACAAGGCGAGCTGTAGCAAAAAAATGGTGGGAAAAAGCAAAAACAAAAGAAACGGCAACATGTATGCGACTTGTATATTCCGGGCACCTCAGATTTGTTCTTTGTTAAAATAGACATAACCATTTTTCTTGTCCGAGGGAGAAATTAAGGCGCAATGAG